TTTGATTAATATACATAAAAAATATCTATATATAAGCTATTGATATCTAAAATTATAAAATATACTTTTGCTTCTATAATATCTTTGTATAATATTTTATGTAGAGCTAGGCATCAAAAAATAGAAATAGTTGTGTTTTTTGTGAAATGATCTTTTCCTACTATATATGTATCATTATTCAAAAAATTAGTCTTACATTTAAATTGTAACTAATTGGTATAATATAGACAATTGTCTATAGCATAGTAGTATTCTTATAACAAGATGATTTCTAAAAGATTGGCTTTCTTGAAGAAGTTTTAGATTTTGGTTTACTTACAAACTCCCTAAATACCTTAGCCAAGTGATATTACATTCATGGAAGCTATAACTAGATGTTGTATATTCATTTTGAGATAACAGATCGTGGAATGGTAAGAACATTATGCTCTTCCTCATGATATTGTCTTTGCAGCCAAGTTGATAATCAATAAGTTACATAATTGATTGTGATTTTTTTATATAAGCTTAGGAAACAAGAAATTATAGGTGAATTAGCTAGTTTCTAAAAATGCTTGTATTACATATGATGTTGATGTAAGAAAGAAACAAATATCTTCCTTAATATTGAAGGAGAAAATTTTGTAAAGAAATGAGTTGAATGAGAATTAGAGGAGTCTATTTGGCTTTTGGAGTTTAATGTCTATAAGAACAATAAAGACAAAAATCATGCAAATGTAGTAGCTAATCTTATTGTCTACTTGCTGCCATTTATGTTTCTATATTACATTGTTCCATCTACAAAAATAGTTTTTATTATTATATGTGTTTACAATAACTTTAAAAAAAGCCTATATTATTTTATTTAAGAATAGAATCAATGCTTATTTGGCCAACCAATTGGATTGGCCTTTTGTATTAAGAACTTGTAATAATCAACCAATTGTCAACCTATTATATTCAACTCTATTAAAATTTAGTAGTAATAATCTATTGATTGTGCTTCCAATGTAATGAGCAATAGGAAAAATACCTAGCAATGATATACTTGAATATAAATAAATAATATAAAAAAGATGGCATAAATAAATACCTCTAGTAATGATGTAATTTAGTAGTCTTACTTATTGTGGTCCATATTGGTTGAACCTAGGAGGTCATAGTTGTAGTTGACCACCTAACATTTTAAAGATAAGTGTTTATTACTTAATGGCAATTGTGGCTTTTTTTGAATTATCTTGTATTGAAAAAGTAGGTAATAGAGTAAGAATGAAGACTTAACTATTGTAATATCCTAATATATGCTTTTGTTACCATTTTTTTGGTAGTTGATAATATATTGTCTTCTTATAGATGTAATAGTATCTCCAATGGTATGGCACCAAATATCATGTACAATATCAAGGATATAGCTGTGCTAAGTAGTAAAAATACTATATTTTATTTGATCACTAATTTCAATCTAAGTAATGATGTTGATACAATGGATTTGGATATGGTAGTAATATTGATTGGTGTATCACGGGATTGTCCAGTTAGTGGTGGTCATCTCCATGAATGGAGACAATTTATTGGGATGAGATGGATGTGGTCCTACTTAATGGTGGTTTATAAAAGAGGTTCTTTCATGAGTCTTTAAATCTTTTTATATATTGGAAATGTTAAGGTTGCTTGTTATGGCCATGAATTGCTTATCTGTGATATAATTGAGGTCTTAATCTTGAGCCTTTTGACAAGGATTGATATTAGTGCAAGAATTGTTTATAATTGCTGGAGGTGTGTCTAAATTCCTTGCATTTTATGCATTTATTAGAGTGTCCAAAATCCAAAATCTAATGGACTAGTAGTAAGTTCGGAGTAGAATTTAGAAGGCTAATTCTTTCTAAAACCTTCATGATGTCTTGTATTAGGATCTTAATTCTCAGACCAACAATCTTATATGTTTAAGATGATGCTTCTTCTACAAAAAACACTTCATTTAGTTGGGAGATAATAATTCTTAAGCAAATCTTATATTGGAAGTACTATAAATATTATATCCAAATAGAATAAGTTAGATATTTGTAAGTACATGTTTTGGTTGCTGAGAAGTATAGATTTCATGAAGTGAATAATATCTTTATGTCTTTGAATTTAAAGAATGAGCTAAAAGCATATTTTACAATCTTTGTAGAGGTAATTGAGACTTCAAAAAAATTGCCTCCAACAAGGGTACATGTTTGGATTAATTTATGTAGAGTAGTGAACATCCACTCTTTTAAAACAATGTGGCATGGACTTTTATTAAGGACATAGCTAAGGATTGTAAGTTATACAACTTGATCATGGATAGCATTAATGATAAGCACTTCTTTGGTAGAAAAAATAACTTGAAGTAAATCAGCATCATATATCAATTAGGTTGCATTGTTTCCAATGACAAGGTTTAGGAGAGCATGTTATGCAGGCATCTGGCTAGTGCTACTAAATTTGATTCTATAACGATTAAAAAATAGTGCTTTCACGTTTTCAAGATCTATGAGGGGCTGTCTTGCATTAGGGCACTGCTCTCTTGTTGAAAGAAATGTGTCCTGGCTTATTACTATTTGAACCTCAAATTTACAAAAAATATGGCCATAGCATTAGGTATTCGTAGAGACAAGAATTTAGTCAAGTCGTAGTCCTAAAAGCTAGAGTCTCTTTATCGGCTACAATTACTAAAGGAGAAAGTGACAAGAGCATTGTTAAATGTAGTACATCAACAGAGCTAGACCTATTTGCAAACAAGTTGCTGCCATAGCCAGAGCTTCAAAGTTGCTCTTTCATCTCCGTGCTCTTGCAATTTTAAATTATTTACTCTAAATCATTTCTATTTGCACTGACATGTTTATATTTTATCAATCTTAATTTATTATAATAAAAGCATAAGAATTAAAATAAAAATATTTATATATTTTTTATAGTCTTTAAAATAACTTCAAAAAAGTAATTATTTCAATGAAATTTTATTTTTTAGTATTTTGAAATAATGATAAAATCATTTTTTATTTTTAACAAATCAGAATCTAAAAAAATATGGATTTCGATGTTTGCACAACATCTAAAATTAAAATTTATTCAAACTAAAAAGTTTATTTTGTGATGGAAACACAATTAAAATATTTTATAAATAATTTCTTGATGATATGAATTCTATACTTTATTAAATTATTAATCATTCTTACTTTTGTTTGATTTAAATATGTATGTATATATATATATATATATATATATTTGTACACACACATATTTATGGTATTAGACTTAACATAGGAGGATCTGAAAATTAAATGTAACTTTATTTTACCACAAACTTAAACCTATCCCAGTTTACCATCACAAATGACATTCTAACAAAATTGAATTTGGGGATGTAAATTTTTTGGGTAATACAATTCTTAACAGTTGAGCAATCTTTGATCAACTGTAAACAACAATGGTAGAGTTACAGCGTCCTCATGCTGAATGCCATAGTTCAATCTGAACAAAATGTGGTATTTTTCAAAATAAAACTGCAAAATTGGTCATTCTTCAAATTACACAGTTTTGTTGATTATAAACAGAAACCATGCAGGATGATGTTCTCTTTATTTTTAATTTGAATGTTCTACAAGGATGTTTTTTGTTTTGTTTTGTTATTTATTGGGTTGATTTTTTAATTTTTTAATGGCAAGCTCAGAAGTTTTTTTTCTTGTAAATTACATTTGCTCTGTTGAAATTTTACTCTTTTAAAAAAAAAATACACTATGATGGTTTTTTAATTAATTTTTTGACACTTGATACCACTCAAAAAAGTATAAAAAATAAAATAGATGTTCCCAACTGAAAATTGCTTCATTAACAATAAAAACATTTGTTGAAAAAAATCATATTCACAATTTCGAAATATAAAGAATCATAATTCTTTTTAATTCAATGCAATTTTTTAAATACAGAAAAGGTACCACCTATATGAAAAGACACATTTCAAAAGTATATACATGTGTATTTGTGAATATATATACATAATAAAGAGGTGAAAGATCACATATTTTGATTTTTATTGCAAAAGTAGTCTGCTGCTTATAAGTATGGCATCATGCTCTACTACTCACAACCATGAAGCTTATCCACAAGATGAGGCAAAACAATGTGCTTTCAATTACATAGCATTTGAAAATAATACTAGTAACTAGTTCAATTAAATTTTTGCATTTTATTTTCACTCAAAATGACATATCAACTCAATTAGAAATTCTCATTAGTACCATGAATTGAATTATACTATCAAGTACCAAAATATTATCATTTTTATCTTTTTTTATTCCAATTTTTTTATTATAAACTAGTGAAAGCTTGAGCCATCAAATACAAATATATGTTTCATAAGTCCTAGTTAAAATTCTATTTGCCAAAATAAAAAAATGAAATTAAAAAAACATATATTGACCAACTAGTGAGTAAATTCACATCCCTAACATTCTATGCCAAAATACAAAATGAAATTTAAAAAATATATATTGACCAACTAGTGAGGAAGTTCACATCCCTAGGAAATCTTTCCATTGCTACTCCTTCACATGAAATTCACCCTTACGTTATAAATAGTCAATTGTCACAATACAAAATCAAATTGATTTATTATACGGTTCCCAAAATTACTTCCACGCTTACTTGTATTCATACGACCGACATCGCATGCACAAGTTTGTTCCTGAGGGTTCCCAAGGCAAGTGATGTCGTTCCCATGAGCTAATGGACTGGTCACCAGAAGCCGTGGCCCCTGAGGATCCGTGACCCACGACCGACGGGGGCGGTCACCGGGTTGGGCCCAGTGACGAAGAATGGCGAAGGACGAACGAAGATTGGATTCCACGAGGAATTTGCCCCACTGGCAAGGAACGGACGACTCCGTCACCATTTCTGGTCAGCTCCTCAACGACTCGTCGTCGTCGGCAGAATCGGGGCTTCGGATCCACACCAACGACGCCTTCGGGGCCATGTCCACGAACGCGCTCTATTTGTCTTCGTCTTTTCTAACCTCTCGGTCACCTTTAACCTTCCCCTTTTTTCAAGTTTCGCGCAATTTGGATTTGTGGGTGTCTTTCGTTGATGCGAGCGGAATGCGATGTAGGGTTCAGTGGTTGGATGTTGAGGTAGCTAGTCGGTGGTGATAATCGTAGCCGTGTTTGCTTCGAAATTGAGCCTGGGTTTGGATGATTGGAAGGTTGCTGGGGGAGTTCTATCTTGGTTTGGTGGAGGATTTGAACAGAGGTGGTGTGTGTGTGTGAGAGAGAGAGGGAGAGAGAGAGAGAGTGAGAGAGAGAATTTTTGAAAGGGAGTGTGGGCTTTTTTTCAGGGTTTGAGTGACAGTGGGTTTGAGTCTGTGGTTGGATGCTGGATGTTTATCTGTGATCATGGTGGGTGCCGAGGCAGTATTACAGGGAGTGCAGGGTGAAGTCGATGTGTCGGGGGTCGAGCCAGTGCCATCGTCGTCCGCCATTAATGTGTTCGTTACGGGACAACCTGGGGTGGGGAAGACGTCGCTTGTCCTCAACGCAGTGAAGAAGCTGCCCAAGGATGTAGTCGCAGGGTTTTACACGCTCGAAGCGCGAAATCCCAAGACGGGAGAGAAGATAGGTCTGGACGTGGAGACTTTCACCGGCGAGAGGGCGCCTCTGTCGAGATTACGTCGGGGATGCGGTCCGAAGGTGGGCAAATACTATTTCGCATTGGAGGCATTTGAGCGGACTGTGCTGCCATTGCTGACTCCTAGCAAGGCAATTAAGCTGCATGTGGTGGATGAAGTGGGACGGATGGAGCTGCAGAGCGATCAGTTCAAGGAATCCTTGATGGGGTTGCTGGCTTCTCCCCAGGTGGCTGTCTTTGGCTCCCTTCCAGCTTGTAGGTTTGGCCATGATCTCCCCTTCGTGGAGGCTATCAAGCGGCGTCCGGACACTGCCATCCTGACGCTCACGAAATCCAACCGTGACGCGACAGCGTTGCAGGTCGAGGATTTGTTGAAGGACATTGTTGGGTCCACCACCAGCGCCGCTGCAGAGTCAAGTTTGGACTTACAAACGGGCAGCACTGGGTCCTCGAATTCCTTGCGAAAATTCATTTCTGCAAACATCTTGCCGTCTTCCGACGCTTTTGGGTATCATCTAGAAAGCGAGGAGCCGGCCGAGAAAAGAAGGAAATTGACTCCGGATCAATTGCTTCTGTGATGGATTGATCATTGCCACCTGCTGCAGACGATTCTACTTCTTTTATGTCGTCCGAGTTTTAAATCATCTCTATGGAGCGAGTGACAACCTGTTAGTGCTGGTTTTATTGTGATTGACGGATCTGGCCTAGCGGACATGGAGAGTGTTTTAGCCGCAGACGTTAAACCATGCAAGTGTTAAGATCCGCCCCATCTACCAACACTTTCGTGTACAGGTCCTTCATTAGCGTAGACATTTTGTGGACCGGAAAGGATGATGAAATCGATAGAGCTAAAATATGTGTTAGAGAATGAATATTGATAAGGACGTAGTGATCCATTTTGAGAATGAATATAGATAGGGGCATATTGTGTCCATCCTGTCGTTGCAGGCCCGTGGTTGTAATTTGTTAACACCATCTTGGTGTGGTTACAGACATCATGGCAGGGAGTCTCTTGAGAAGACACGCAAGGGGTCCATGTCCTCGTGATACCTTTCATGTCCAGGCTCACACGCACCATACGCTACGGATTTTCATATTCATTTTTGAGAAATCTCATGTACCCTTAACAGGGAAAACTTGTACACAATGTCCTGAATTTCTAGCCTAACCAATTTTCTTCCATCTCTTCTCGTGTCTTAACTTTGTTACATTCGTGTTGCTACTCTCCGTTGTCGAGATCAGTGTGTTTACTTGACGCGTTTCTTTTTTCTCCCAAGATTCTTTTGCCACTTTTGCCGTGGGAACCAAGCTGTAGGTAATCCGAATTCATTGTCATTTCAATAGGTGACTCGACCAAGCCAAGTATTTTTTTTTTTTTTTTTTTTTTTTTTTTCTGTTTCTGCACATTCATGTGCACAGTCTGTTTCTGGATACGCGGTACTGGTATTTGCACTGTGGCTACCACGAGTCAGCCTGTACTCCATGTTTGGCAGTCGGCACACACTTTGCTTAGTCAGCTTGAGAACTGAGCTGAGCCTTTGACCAGGTATGGTGTATCCTAGAAGTGGATTACTATTGTCCTCAATTTCCACGCCTTGCCTACTGCTACTGCAGTACTACAGCGGTCCAGACAAGTGGCCACGACGTCAACATGAGAATCACTACGGCTGTTTTCTGTTGGAATCTGCACAACATATATTCTGAGATACGGCTCTAGGTTCAGGAACATCAGTCTCTACACGTGATTTATTTAGCTAGGAACCAGCTCTACGTTTGAGTGTATATCTTGTCCAGATACAGAGCACAAATCTTCAACTGCATGCAGATAAAGCTCAGTTCAGAAGGCACCTTTCTGACCTTTATTTAGTGCAACTTGGGGTGTCCTGCTAATTTGGTTTGGACCAGCCTGAGTTATAGGTTTCTCTGAGATCTGAAGAAATTGAGGGTGAGACATGCACCATATGGTCTCTTATTTACTTTATATCCAATCAGGAATGTTTGCCACCACCTCATTAGAACTTTTCGGACATCCAACATGATCAGGTACAGTAGAATATTTGTATGTTCGGGTTTCTTCCAGAGCAATCAATTATTGAATTTGAATGGTCGTCAGTGTATGTTCACTGACTCGAGAACCTCCTCTGACAAACAAATAAGAGGCTAAAAAGACACAAGCCCCACCTCTTTCTACGTCTACATGTATATACAACTTGGTCTTAAAGTTTTCTGCGAACATGATAATTGTGTGTTGATGTTGCAATAAGAGCACATCAAGTATTTTTACAAGAATATGAATGTGTTATTATAAGACAAGAATTGAATTAACTGGAGCGCTTGTGCACTCACAATCCAACAAAAATAAAAGTAAAAATAATTTGAACTGTAGCTTAAAACTGAACTTGATAAAAACATATAATTCAAAAATGAAACTTAATTTGATATTTCAAATTTTAAGTAAATTTTACTTGTATTATGTTATAATTACTATAATATTCATTATTTTTAATAAATAACTACAGCTTGGTTCCCACTATATTGCAATTAATATTGTGTAAAGTTTTCTTAATTTATTATTATCAATATATATATATATATATATATATATATATATATATACATCTTTAAAATTTATCATATTTAATATGGTAATTTTTAAGTTATTTCAACAATTATATCAACACATGTATATTCTAGTATTAAAAATAATTCCTGGTATGAACTAATTCCATACTAAATACCATAAGTTCACCTTTCAAGCATTTTATTGTAATTAGATATAAATTTGTAGAAAGTATTAACCAAAAATAACTTTAAATTAAGCTTTATCTATATTGATTTTAACTCACCTATCTTATGTAATTTTTTTATTAAAAATAATGTCAATTTTTTTACCTATACAGTTTCTAATCACTTAATAAGTATAAAATATGCAAAATTTAACAATAATTGTGATACATTTTTTATTATAAAATAAATCATGATTTAAGTTTTCAGGAAGTTTTGCAGTTTCTATGACATCAAAAAATACTGGGTTAAGCAACGAGTTAGTAATTCTATATTTATATGTGCAGAAAAGTTTTTTAAAAAGGCAACTGACATCAACTAAAATAAAACTATATTCATTCATCAAAATTGTTAGTACTACCATAAGATACATAAATATTTACGTTCCATGCATCAAAAAAAATTGAAAATTTAAACCAAATCATTGTATTTAAATTCTAAACCAAAAAAGAAAAAGAAAGAGAAAAAGAAAATTTGATTCAGAATAAAATATAGTTAAATGTCGATAAATTGAAAACCAGAAATTCAGAAAAACATAAAGTTATAAAAATTACATCTAATAAAAATAAAAAATTAATAGAACTTTGTGTAAAACATTGTTTTTTTCATCACGATTGTTTGTTAAATTGTTGTACATTTGTGATTGTACAGAATCATTTAAAAAACGTCTTATTATTTTCAACAAAGAATTTTCAAAACTGAACTAGTGTTGATTTCATTTTCATTTTTGAAGATGTACAATTTTTACTGAAAATTATTTTCATTTTTAATATTTCAACAATACTTAAATTTTATTACAATCTACTTTAAATTAATAAATAAAAATTAAAATGTAGACTATTAAATTAACCTTTTAATAATTAAAGAACTAAATTTAAAACTTATATCCAAATTACATATGAACTTCTATTAATAATGTGATTCAATATTTTAGTGTTTCAAAAGTAAAACAAAGATATTTCATATAGATAGAAAAAATATATATTTATGATAATTGACAGATGAATTAAAGAAATATTTAAATTGGTAGTTCTAAATAATTTATAATCAAAAGCATATTATTGAGATGAATCTTGTTCATCATGTGACCAATTTTCATTTTAAAATTTACTTCTACAAAAAATAGTACACTAGTTTCACCATTCTAACAGCTTGTTTTCATTAACACAATTCTTCCTTTGGTTTTAATGTTTTAATGCTTTTTTATTTTTTTATTTATTTTTATTTTTCAATTCAATCAATAATTTGATATCAAAATTCAGTCTGGATATTTTATAATGAATCTGTACATTTTTTGTACAAGCTTTTAAAAAACCATTGTATTATCTTTTTGCAACATCTGATACACATAGTATTTTTTGTATATTCATATAAAATTAAACTTACAAAATCAATCAAAGGACATATAATTGGATGTTATGCATTCTAGATTTGGTGTTGTATGAAATGTGTTTAATATTCATTTCTTGAATGTAATTTTGTAAATGATTCTTGATTAGTAGCAAGAACTGTTATTAGTAGTTTATCATTACAAATTATTTGGTTTGACTAATTTCCATTTTTGAAGCAATGTGCATTGCTCATATTACATAAGTAGCCTTTTTATGATATATATATATATATAAATTAATAAAAGTTACTTGTTTTGTTTAAAAAAGAATAATTTTATATGATGGAGAAATGGTTATTACTTTAAAGTAGAACAAATTTCCTGTAGCAAGTAAAATTATATATATATATATATATAGTTTGTAATTTGTTTTAGATATATTTTTTGTACAAATCAAGTATGATATTAATTATTATGAATGTTTTTAAAACTTCATCAATGCAAATATCCAACATTCAATTTTCATCATTAATACAAAATTGAAATAATGTAATCTGCTTCTGAAAAATCATAATTTCTTAGAGTACACTTACTAAAATCAACTATTTGTTCCCAATGTTTAATGGCAATATATTATTAAAACTTGAAAATTTTTAAACTTCAATTTTGACTAGATCTGAATACATTTGGTAAGTATTCAACAATGTCTTTTAATGAAATAATAATTTTAAAGCATATTTATAATGAAAAATAAACCATATACTATTATATATATATGGTATATGTATATATATATATATACACACATCAATCAATCAATTAAAAAAAATCCATTTAGCAAGCTAAATAATTATGTGGCCATTGCAATAAGCTTAAATTAGTGATATTTGTATATAATAGAGACGTTTTTGTGATGAAAATGTATTATAAAAAAGTTACCAAGAAGTATTGCAATCTTTAAAAATTATAAAATATTTTACTAATTCAGTAATCATTTTATCCTAATAGATTAAATCAAGTACAAAAGTGCTCTAGACAAGGGAGGGTGTTTGGATAAGAGACAAGAGAATGGAGATGGAAGATAGTTCAAGATAAAGTAGAATTAATTTTTGTTGAGAGCATTAAATAAAGCTCAAGTTCTCTATACTATTGATTGTAGTCTACAATAAATATTATAGCTACAGTGTTTGGAATGTAGTGGACAAAAACTGTTTATCTTCTCCCCTTTTCTTTGTATAAGTGAGATAACCATATCAATAAACTCTTTCTTGTGTGTATGTATATATGTTTTACATGTGTGTACACATTACTTCTAGCTACTCTTGTTTCTCTTTCTAAAACATTCTCAATACGTTATCAACACAATTGCTCTCATACACTAGTCTTGGTTCTTAAAAACATATGTCCACTTTATCCTTCATTTTTTTCTCAATTTTTTTCCTCTAACTTGTTGCTGCTATGTTGTGTTGCTTCTGCTATGTTGAATTACTCCTGGTATTTCTGTATTATTGCTGTTGCTATGTTGTATTGCTACTGTTGTTGTATTATTACTACTACTCTATTCTATTGTTGCTATGCTATTATTGCTGCCATATTGTCTTGCTGCTATGCTCTTATATTACTACCAAACTACTATACCCTACCATCATCTACTGGATCTTGCTGCCGTTTGCTGCAACTTACTACCAACTACTGCCATCTGTTGCATCCTGCCATCAACTACCTTACTATGTCGCCAAGTTGCCATGCCTTGCCACAGTCCACCATAGACCCTTATTTTTGTGGAAAAACAAAACAAAAAATCTCTTAAAATTTTTTAACACTTTTAATTTTAAGTTTCAATTTTATCATTTTATTTGGATTTTTATTTTAAGGTACATTTTATCCAACTTTTTCTACTTCGTCTTATATTTTTATTCACAAATTTATTTATAATGAGAGCTTCAACATTTTTAATTGCTTCTATTATATTTTCAACTATCACCATTACATCCAATATTTTTTAAGCTCTTCTATTTTTACCATTGGCTATTGATGGAAACAATTATCTATTATGGGCAAAAATAGC